TGTTACCTGTACACCGGTCTTTAAACAGAACTCTCTGAGCAGAGAGAGCTTCTGAAGGCCATAGTGCTCTACCAGGTGGTTGGGGCCTGAGCTGTCACAGAGAAAAATGACAGTTGCTCTATTGTTGACAATGAGCCACTGTGTAGATAACAAACATGAGGCGAGAACACACAAAGGCCACGTCCTTACCCAAGACAGTCAGAGATGTTATATGTTTCATCAGCGTCCTGACAGACCAGGTTCCACAGCTCAGCCCCCGTGAGTGTGCTCCAGGGTGTGCTTTCAGAGGCACCAGCCCCGCGGCCACGCCGCCTTGACTTCTTCTTAGTCTCCTCCCCCACAGGAGTGGGTATGAAGTGGGCAACCAATAGGCAGCAGAGGAAGTGACTTACAGCTGCAGAAAGACTAGGCACATCCACACCCTGCAATGACATAACCCGTGACTGGAGTGAGTTTTTTCTGCAGCATGTGGACTGACACCCAGCTGTGAGGTGTGCAAAGGAATGAACAGGTATGCTTCTGACAGGATACTGTGAAGTACCTGGAGGAAACTGCTGAACACTCTTCTTGTTGAGCGAATGAAAATTTCACCAATGAGCAATCTCTGGTGAAGACAGAACAAGAGATGGTAATTTGGAAGGTGGTCACATAAGACTAGTTTATGTGTAACTATTTTGTAAATAAAACACACCATTATATGCCTCAGGCACTCTTTGTGTTCTGACTGCCTGATGGCCTTGATCACATGACCTAGATACCGAAGGTTGATGCCTCTCTGGTGTAGTTCCTGTTTTAGAGAAGCTCCATCCATTGGTGCCTCACTGCTTTGCAGGCAATACTCAACCTGTATACACACAAACATTGTTTCATGTTTGGACCAGTGGTGCATATAAATCATGCAAACAGAGAATCTACTTACAAAGGCTGATATCTGGTGTGTTATGATGAAAGCTGCAGCTTCCCTCAGTAACCTCTGCTGTAGCTTAGTTGATTCACTTTCCCCAGGAGGGAATGACACCCCTAAGCACAAAGTATAAGAAGCATGTCATATTGTGATCCATAGAAAGATGTGAGTGTGAATGTGTGTGCGCGCGTGTGTGATTTCTCTTGGTACCTGGTGAAAAAATGTTTGGGTTAAAGCGCATCTCAAAGATGATGTTGCTAAGTGATCCTACATCTTCACAAGCAGCTCGTACTGCATTAGCAGCTCGAGAGTCACCTGTAAAAAATAAAAGCATTCATCTCATGTATGAAATGGTGAAAGTATTGTACAATATGCATTAATTATAATTTTGGATGGCATTCAGTTAGATCTACTAAAGTGTCTTACAAGCTGTGGCACATTCCTCAAAGCCTCCATTGTCTTCCAGTGACTCCTTGACACGCTGACTGAACTGGCAATGTCTAAAAGATGCAAAAGACAACTTCAAAGTGTGACAAACTTTAATAACTGAGTGAAAAGGGGTTTTATTTCGTGTAGAACTCACTTGTGCTGGATGAAGTCCCGCACAAGCTCTGGCCTCAGTCTACAGAGGCTGTGACGATAGCTCTTTGGAAGCCCAGTGTCTGCGTGATAATTCTCTGGCCACCCTTCTTTTACGCAAACCTTCTTCTCTTCCTCTCCTTCACAGCTTTTATTACTCTCCTCTGCTGTGACTGTCTGACTTTCTGCCTCCACCTCCGGAGAGAAGTTAGCATCAGCTGGGAAGGTCCTGAACACATCCAGTATATACAACCTCCCATCAGCTCCCAACACTCCCTGAGATTCCACTGAGGTGAACAGGGGGACCTGGTGACCTTTAGGTGACAAAACAACATGTCTCTGGAGACAAAGAGATTTTGCAGACCGAGCCAAGAGTTCTAGTAGTTCTCTGCGTTGGGGGGACTCTTGGGGACCTGCATTTACCCCATACAGCAAGCCTCTGATGACCACAACAAGAAAGACAATTAAGAGGAAAAAAGCACAAAAATGTTAAACACAGTTTAGTCACAGAGGATAATGTCATTTAAGTCCAGAGGAGTGTACCTTGAACCAGGAGTAGTTCCCTGGTCTTGGTCAGAGCCCTCCAAACCAGGGGCTAGACCCTGGGCAGACAGGCGCACCCCTCTGTAGTCTACAATGGCTGTAGGTAGAGTGTGCAGCTGCTCCATCCCCTCGAGGTTGCTGTAGGCTTGTACTCCTTGAAGCTCCAGCCTCTGAGCAGCCCTGTTAGTAGAATATAAGGAAAGATTTAAATAATCTGCAGCATTAAAAGTCAAACAAAAAATATTTTATAATCCTCTTATCAAGCAAAGCATGGGGCCAGTGTACTTTCTGAAGCCTTTACATTTATACAACTAAGGGCAAGTGACTCTACATCTATATTATATGGGCATTTTGTTGTGGTTTGCTCTTACCTACAACCTCTTTCCCCACCAAACACAGGGCTTGCTACCCCCTGGCTCATGAACAGGCCACCCCACAGAAAAGCAGGGTCCTCTGGGTTTCCATTTACTGGCTCAACAAAGCCATCTACAACAGTCTCTGCCCCCTGCATGACAGCCCTCACAAACGCACTGTTTACCTGACAAAACAGATGAGAATGAAAGTGAGAGGCGGAGAAAGTCATAAATGGTAAATGAAAGGAAATGGGTTACAGGAGTCCTGAACTGCCCTACTGCTGCATTGACCTAAATCATAGGTTACCTGGAGCAGAGCTCTGTCTCTGTGCAGCCTCTCCTCCAGACATCCTTGTGGAAGATCTCTGGCTGTTTGCAATTCCTCATTCCAGTCTGGAACCTCCACATAAAAAACACAAAATATATCAGTACTGACAGCAAGTCACTGCCGATGAACTGCAACAAACAGTTGTCCTCTGTTGCAAATCACCCGTGTTGAAGCCTGTTCATCAATCCCCAGTCTGCTGAAGGTATTTTTGTGAATGCGAGAGGCACATGGAGGCCCGAGCCAGCTCAGTGTGTGGTAAGGAGTAGGCAGCACCTCTACTGGTGGCAGCTGAGGTCTAAAGGAAGAAGGAGAACAAACTGCATGACTCAAAATCCACTTCACTAACAGTCATTTTAATGGAATAGTCCACAGGGCTTTGGTCCTCACTTCATCTTGGAATATAAACCTCATCAAACCCCACTAATGGGATTCTGGCAAAATACTGTATCGATGCTTTCTGAATGCACAGATAATAGTGTTACCTGTTTTTAAGTGTGGTAAAGGTTTGCTTGAAGGCAGGGCTGATGTGACAGAGCAGGTCAGTGATACAGTGACAAACTGGAGAAGACTGTGTTGGACGAGGGTCAAACGCATCTTCTGTAGACCTGAGGTGAAGAAGGAGAGAAAGAAAAGAATTCATATATCAAGTTAAAGTTCAATCATTGACATTGTCATTTATTTAAAACAGGTTACTCAGACAAATGTGTACATTACTAGCCTGGTATATGCTTTTCTGCAATCATCACTAGAAAATAGGTTGATTAAAAATGATGAATTTCTTTTACCTGTTGACAAAGAAACCTTTTGGACAGGATGTAATGTCATAACATCGTCCCTCCATTGTCGCCACAGTGATGTACATGAAGTCTCCTTGCAGCTTCCTGTGCCCTGGTGGTGGGTTCCAACAGCTGAGGGACAAGTCTCGCAGGTAACTGGGGGCCTGATGAGACATATAAAGTCACAGAGAGTCAGTGTATGAGTATGGGTGGATTAGTCCTGTGTTCACATAAAGTCCTGGTATTTATGTACCTCTGGCTGGGAGCTATGTGGTAGCAGGGCCATGAGTGGCCTTTCTGAGGAACCAGGGAGGAGGTATTCAGGAGGAGCTGCATCCTGGTTGGTTGATTCTGTTTTTGTGTTGCTTGAAGAGCGCTTCAGGCTCTTTCCGTTTGGTAAGCTGGATTCTTCACCAGTAGCAAACAGAGATTACACAGAGTTACATTGCTATGGTTACATGGCCATTTTGAGGTTCTTTTGTGTAAAACCAACAGTTTGCATGTGCACCTGGTGTTTGTGTATGCATGAGTGTCTCCAGTACACTTGGTGAGCGTCCTTCTCTGAGTGCATCCTGAGGTCCAGATGCTCTCAGCAGTTCCAGGACTCGAGCCAGATGGAGCCTGGCTGAGCGCGCAGTGTAAGGCTCTGTAAAAACATGCACTGGTTAACACAACATTTAAGCTGAACCACTTTACACTTAACATATAATACAGCATAGGTCTGATGAACCTGTGAATATGAACAACCTACCATATGATTCATATTCTCTGAACATAAATCTCTACATACTAACACGCAAGCTACAGGATAATATGTTCAGTACTTTGGCAGGAGTGTGAGACATGGACTAATAGGTTGGCACCCAGGTGTAACTATCTCAAATCTCTGCCACTATAAAGCCTGTTATGATGACTCAGAAAAGGTGAGTCAGCTATTTACACAGAGCTGATTGAGACTTTGGTGTGTGTGAAAGGGTGATGGGTGTGATGAAAATATAGATAGGATTATTCAGAAAGTAATTGGGCCACAGTGCAAATATGCTTTGTTATTAATGTAAATCATGCAGTAAGTAACTGTAAGTTGGAAGAAAGAGTTCCAGTAACTGGTAAAGTTTTGAAATTCAAAAATTATGACAAATAAGCGGTATTATGGTTTGCACATCAGATACAAATGAAAAATGTTTAGCATTAAAGAGCTGTGAGTTGTTAACAACTGTGACAAATGTCAGATAAAAATTGGTAAGACACTTAAAGTGGAGTGCATGGTCACACAGAATTATAAAATATAAAGTATTAACAAGTAAACTTACACTAAAAAGCTTCTAAAGACCCCTAAAAATTGTGAAAGAAATCCCATTTATCTAAATAACTGACCATGAATTTAGTTTCACAAATGCAGTTTGGAAATAAAACAGAGTTAAAAGAGAGGACCCTCAAAAAGCCCCAGAACATTAGCAAAGCATAAAAAAAGCAAGTCTACCCTCCACCAGGCGAATGATGGCTCCTGGTTTGAGGCCCTTGAGGCTGTGCAGTTCTGCCAGGGGATCCAGAGTTGTACCGGCTAGTGCCAGTGACAGGTTGGAGCGTGGACACACCTCATCCCTTGAAAGCATTGTCATTACTGCATCTTGAACGCGCCAAAATCTGTGGACCTACAGAGATGCATGATTTAACACAACAAGTAACTATCACATGAAAACCCAGACAGCTATAATGTATGAGAATAGTTTCTGCTCTACACAGGAAAATTAAGATAAAAAGAAGGCTCATTAAATGTTCACAATGACAGAAAATACAGTGTTGTATATACTGTATATGCTGTATACTGTATGTGTATTCTTCAGGAAAAATAGATGTTAACTGTGCACTGGAAGGGTTCTACATTATCATAAATTACAAGACATAAGATTTTGAAGGAAAAATGTTAGAAATATGAAGTCTCAGCTATCACTGTTGAGTTCCATCACAACTTGATTACTCACTGAAATGTCTATGAAAGAGAGGGAACAATGTCTGAGGGGAAATAACAGCCCTGTTTTGTACCTGCAGCTCAAAAGGCTCTACTCCTGCTCCCTGGATCTTCACAGAGAACAATGTGTCCTCATCTTGCTTAACACCAGTGGCATCCTTTCCATTAGCCAAGTTAGTTACATCTGTTTGAAGGAGAAATCAGAGAAGCAAAGCAAACTGAGGATAATCACAGAGCCCTTCAATGGACAAGCTTTCAACGGGTGCTTTCTGCCTTCCGTTCTTTACATACCAGGATAGTTTCCAGCTCACCGTGACCCTGAAAGGACTTAAGCAGTTACAGAGCATGCAAGAATAATGGAATTAATTAATTATAATCATGACTTAATGTGTTCAAAGTCCACCATCATGGTGCAGAACACTGATTTATCCCAAAATAATCATGCACTGGACCGAGGAGTTTGTGTGTTTGAGGTTGTCTGAGAGTGAGAGTGAATCATTGCAAAAAATAAAAACGTCAAAGACAAAGACAAAGAAAAGGAAAGTGGGTGGGGTGTGTCTGCCTTTTTACACACACTTGCAGAACCAGAGGGAGAGCAGGACCGAGCGTGTTCCTCAACTCACAGTGTGACTAAACCTGGTGAATTTGCCTACTGGCCCTCATGTCATCTCAGGGTGAAGGGACAGCCACACCCAACACAGGCATGTTTAGACAGCAGAATGCTAAAGCACCTAAACTAACAGACCTATAGCTCAGCAGTAGAACATGTTTACTTGCATTGATGCATGCACCTTAACATGTACACTGAAAAGCAAAAAATTCACCTGGCACTCGTTGCTGAAGACTCTACAATAAATCCCCTGTTTTACTGACAGTCTGGAAGCACTTTACCACTGGAAATCATCCAGAAACTTGCTTCTGTGTTTGCGATTGGCTAGAAACAAGGTCACTCCTCTCTGCAAACATGGAGTGATCAGCCTCTCTTTTATTGGTGCTCCTGCTTTAAAATCAGCAATGTACTCACCTCTGAAAAGTTTATTTTGGCACTGATTTCTAAAGTTGGCTCGTACACAGCCAGGCAGAATTCTTTCTCTATATGTTAAAAAAGATTTTCAGAACAATGAAATCACTTTCTTGAAATAACACTACCTGTCAGTCACTATGCCCACAGATATATACAGTATCTTTTCTGTGGGGGTATAAACACCTTGGGGAAATCTCATCTAGAGACAGGCCAACACACACACTGCCTTAATCCTGTGGAAGGGGAGTGGCAAAGGTTAAAGGAGTAAGCTCGTGGCAAAAGGAGAATCAGTTAATAAGGTAGGCAAAGTGGCTGGAACTTAAAAGTTAGAAGGTTTTTGATTTTGGATGAATGGCAAGAGAAGCTATGCAGACATTTAAATAAAAATTACACTGTCCTTCTTAAAGGATAATAACTACTATTTAAGTGTATTTCAAGGGATTGCAGGTATAACACAGAATACCCCCGTGTGAATAACTTTACCAATAAAAGTTAAAAGTGTGGTGCAGATCCTCCAAGTGGTAAAAAAAGTTAGTGAAAGCAAGTGATAGCACCGGCCATGTTCAGCGCAGCAGTACAGTGCTAAATCTCCCACCCTCCTCACATTCTCCAGTGAGGGAGGCACCACACACAAAAAGAAGGAAGAGGATAGTGACAAAAGAGAAACAGAGAGAGAGGAGAAGAGAAGCAAAATGCATTTTAGGGATTTCTCACCAGACTTGGCCTGATTTCCTCCTCCTCCTCCTCCTCCTCCTCCTCTCCTCACTTTGTCCTTCATGGCTGCTTGTTGACGTTTTTCTAGAGCTGTCCTCTTGTGCTTTCACTTCTCAGCGCTATAAGTTGCTTCCTCTCAAACTCTAGCTTCAAACTGCTGAAAAAATGCACAGGAGGGAGTGGGTAGAAATGTGCAGCTGGATTACTTGTCAGCCCAACAGAACGAAATAAGTGGCTGCCTGTTCAGGACTGTGACTCCTGCCCCTTTCTAAAAGGCAGACTCAGCTTATCTGTTCATTCTGTGTACAAAAGCCACACCCTCTTATTGCTCCACACAGGCTCATTACTCTGCTTTTCTCTCACACTTTGTTGGACTGGGTGTGTCTAAGGCTACTCATTCTTCCTTCCTTTGACATGTTTCACTCCCCCATGCCCCTCCTCCATCCAGCCCTCCCTTCATGAGCCCTGAAGGAGAGGTGGGATTAATCACACACTGTGTGGTAGTGGTTTGATCCGAGTTCACCCACCGCCCTGCTTCTGACATTAAGCCTTTCATGTTACAAATGTTTGCGGCCCATTTAGTGCACATGGTTACATTAATAGTAACAAAAAGATATAATTACATATTTATACTACTTTTATAGTTCTTTAATTCAAGGCCAATGAGGTCCTATTACTCTTTTGACTCATGATAGTGAAGTTAGGTTTAACTTGAAAATGAGACAGTTAATTGGGTGTGTGTCTGTTTCTTGATCATGTGGTTGCTTCCTCATTGTTGGGAGGCCTACACCTACTACTTGCACATTTTACACATACCTGGGCATACATAAATCCTAATTAAGCATTGCAATGTCAGGGTTAGGCTGAGCAGGTGACTTGTTTAGTATTACTGCAATGCCATGAAACTCATTCCAGGCTGTAATTTATGACATGGGTTTATTCCAAATAGCACCTTAGCTAGTAAATAAGGAAGTCAAAGGGTGGAAGAGTGAGTGTGTGTGTGTGTGTGTGTGTGTGTGTGTGTGTGTGCGCGCGCGTTTGAGGGGTGTTTGAGTGATTAAGCTATGGCTGGCTCTAATTCCAAATATTAGGCTGCAAGAAAAATATAAAAGCTCAATATTTAACTGTGGTGGAAAGTAACTAAATATATTTGCTCATGTACTGTACTTAAATGCAATTTTAAGGTATTTGTACTTTACTTGAGTATTTTCATTTTTTGCTACTTCATATTTTGACTTCACTGCATTTCAGAGGCAAATATTGTACTTTATACTCCACTACATTTATTTGATAACTTTAGAACTTTATTTACTAGTTACTTTTCATAGTCAGATTAATAATACAGCATATACTATAGTCATAATACCTTGTTGACTGGTGGACAATTCATAAGCTACCCAGCAGTATGTAAAGTCATTCATACTGTAACCACGTAGTGTATTTAAAAATAGTTCCACCTTTACCAGCTGCAATGTTAAATGTGCATCGATAATCAGGCGATAACACAATAATATAATGTGTAATGTGCTATTGTGCACAATGAGTACCTTTACTTTTGGTACTTTAAGTAGGCTATATTTTGATGTTAAATGTTTTGTACTTTCATTTAAGTAATATTTTTATGCCGGAATTTTATTTGTAACAGAATATTTTTACACTGTGGCATTGCTACTTTCACTTAAGTAAAGAATCAGAGTACTTTTTCTATTGCTGACATTTAATGAGTAATTTTGGCATACTCCTACTTTAATAACTAATTAGTTTCATAATTGATTTGTCATTACGTGAACAAAGTCGTATTGAGGGTTGTTGATGAGATGAGAATTAAGCTTCTGCTGAATGAGTATTGCCATCTGCGCACAAAACAACACAGGAAAGCAGCCCCTGAGCGATGATAAAGGTAAAGTCAGGCGCACAGACAACAACATAAATTTTGTTGCTGTTTATTTTGTTATATTACACACCCTTATATTGGTTTACTGTTCATTTGCCCCCTTGCATGGGGATATGTACATGCACATTGAGAGCCGATGTACCAGATTCAAATCCCGCGTGTGTCCGACACACCTGGCCAGTAAAGCAGATTCTAATTCTGATTTCTTTGGTCATTCAGTATGTTGAATTAGAAAGAAATACGTCATTTACCCTTTACTCCTAATAGTACTATACAGTAAGTATGCTATACCGTATAGTGTATATTAAAAATATGTACTTTATATATAGCCTACAGTTTATGAATCATATTCACAGTTTATTACTAATTCATGGCGCCAGAAATTATTTATGGGCGGTGCCTGATGCGGTCATGTGGGGTCTTATGTTACCTTAAGGTGCTCCTTGTAAATTTGAACATTTATACATAGCTTTTTAAACACTATATTTGATGCTTTCGGAGATTGTGTGATTTGGAATTTACTCATAATTGACTCATATTTGCTTTGTGTTACAACGTAATACTGATCTGACGAAAATGTACAAGCTTATTAGTTTATAACGAATATTTTTCCATTAGTATTGGACGCTTTGTTCACGTATTTCACTTTCTAATCGCCACACTTAGAAAAATTTGCCATCACAAAGAATGCTATCAGTGTTAATGTAGCTGTTTTAATGGTTTATATGGTCATTAATGTGGTCGTTTGTGAACACCTGTCTTGTAATGGTCATATTTCCGACAACGTAATGGTCATATTTCCGACAACACTTTAAGCAGGCACTGTTTGACAGGAGGCTGTCCTTCGCTAGCCGAGCTAGCCAGCGCGAGGGAAACAACGAGTCCATCTCTTCGGCATTAGTATTAACAGTTCGTGAAACTGTCGGTAAGTCTCGGTTAACGACTGTCTGTTACTAGCGTTATAATAGCCAGAACACTGGCACAATATAAAAACGGAGACATTAACACTGGTGTACTGTGAGGCCATCTTAATTCATCCTACATGAACATGAATGTGAGCAATTACTGGCTTCTAGAATGTTTGTTGCATTCTTCTAAACATGAGAAATAAGAGTAAACATTAGCTAGCTAGTTATGTTTAATACAATGTCAACAAAATTGGTGCTACGTAACGTTGCATTAACACAATTCATCTTGGTGAGTTAACGGTTCGCTAGCTTGTCACGTTTCATTATGTTTAACAGTACTGACCCGCAAGTGCCAGTGTTGACTTGTTTATATTTCTGTATAGCTCTATATAAGTTTGATAAGCTGAAGTTACAACATATTTTGTAAGAGCTGTGATGGCCATTCAGCCCCCAGTTTGCTTGTTACAGGTCCTGTGTTTGTGTGGCCCCCTGTCTTCTTAAGGTCAGAGCTGGGGGCTAATGTCATTCAGTCCTGGTGAGGAGGGGGCTTTATCTCAGGCTGCCCCAGACGTCAATACGCAAGACCTCTGTCACAACCCCGCTCAGTGCGTGGCGACAGGGAACACATCTGAGGATAAGGTGAGGGTGCGTGCCAAAGTTTGTGCATAGGCGTTTGTCAAAGTCTGTTTCTTATAGCTCTGCGTTTTATGATTCAGGTTTGGGTTAGGTTAGGCATTGCAGAAACAAAACACACTGTAATCTTTATTGGACAATATAACAGTGGCCTCCTAAGAGCTATTGTGATTCTCAGTACATTATCAATGGGTTATCTACTGTAAAGTTTATTTCAACTCCTGTCATCATATCCCATTGATCAGTTGCAGGGGCACAAAAGGATAATCACCTTAAAATCACCTTAAATCACCTTTGGTCCTAGTCATGGATTAAAGTACACTATGTGTTATCTCAAATAAGGTTAATTTTCAGTGCTTATATCTCACCCCCTCTCTCAAACCAGCTAGACATTTGAGTATCTTGCGATTTCACAGGTCAAAGTTTGGTCAGATTGTACCCTGGAAAAAAGCAAAGTAGTGAATGTGTCTTGCCCTATTCGACATAGACATGAATGACTTCTATATCTACTTAATCTGAAAACTAGAGCGGAATGGTGGACTAAAAAAAGACAAAAGTTACAACATAGTTGTTATTGTGTTGGTGGACTAAATCAAATGTAATAGTGTATGTAGCAAGCTTGTGATTTTTACTTGCTGCAGCTGAGCAATATTGCTGAAATTAAGAAGAGATATTGCTTTAACATCTTTAACATCTTACTTTACTTACTTACTTACTGATCATGTTGGCATGATTTTTCTCCAGGTGTCACCTGTTGTGGATGAAGCTTCTCCTTCCTCCACATCCTCCTTTGAGATCCTTGACATGGAGTCTGTCCTAGCTCCTTACCAAGAAGTGCAGCCTCACTGGTTCTTCTGTCGACAGGCTGATGACAACACCTTTTGGCTTCCTTTTAGCAGAGAAGATTCTGACAAACTAGAGAATTCCTGCAACACTGGTAAGCACATATATATACGTATATACTTTATATTATACCCTGTACATGTACATTACATTTGGCATAAATGGGTCATCAGAGTAGGTACATGAATAGTAGAAAAAGAGTGGGTCTGTATAAACAGCTTTGAAAAGGAAAAAAATCTAAACATTACTGTTGCCACCCCTGGCCTGGTGCCCAGTAGGGCATTATATTCTCCTAACAGGACATGCTCACTGTTTCCAACAAGCTGACATTCAGGTTCAGGTGGTTTTAGGGAAGCCTGTTAACAACATGCTGATATTTATGGTAGTGCATTTAAGTTCTAATTGAAAATGGGACCTATTGAAAACAAAGATACCTTCTTTTGCAGATAGCTTTAGGTAGTATTTTTATTTGAATTTTTTATTCTCCCCATGAATTTAACAGTTTCATTCTAATGGGAGTGTACATAAAACCACAGGCCCACGCTAGCATACTACAGCTCCTGGCAGAACAGATAACTAACGTGGAGCTAGAACATCCTGACTCTCCACTCATTGTTCTAGGGGACTTTAACAGGGCAAATCTCTCCCATGAACTGCCCAAATACAGACAGCACGTCACCTGTCCCACCAGGGACAAAATCACACTGGACCACTGCTACACAACAATAAAAGTCCCCTCCTGCTTCAAACGCTCCACCATCATCCCAGTCCCCAAGAAAACCTCCATCAGTGGACTGAACGACTACAGACCTGTCGCCCTGACATCCGTAGTTATGAAGTTCTTTGAAAGACTGGTGTTGGCCCACCTGAAGGACATCGTAGACCCCCTTCTCGACCCCCTGCAGTTCGCCTACCGGGCAAACAGGTCAGTGGACAATGCAGTGAACATGGCACTGCATTACATCCTGCAACACCTCGACTCCCCAGGGACCTATGCACGG